TGTACACACCAAAAGTAACACTTTTAAAATTGTTACAATTGTCTTCTATTTTTTTTTCATGTTCAATTTGCTTTACGAAGGTTATAAAATATGCAGAGAGTAAAAATAGTTTAAATACAACTATGAGAATAAATTTATTAACATTTAACAAAATATATATTTGAGTAGTAAAATAAAATAAAAAGGTACAGCTAATTTTAATATGAATAAGAAAAACTAATCATTTAAAAATATGTGATAAATTTTTATTTTAAATCAAATAACATAAGCCACTAATAAAAATGAGAAGTATAACATTTATTTATTAGTTTTGTTTTGTACAATTCGATTTTATTTTTCATATATTTATAAGAGATCAAATTATATAACATGTATATATGCGGATCCTTAATCTAGTATTCCAATAATGGATATCCCGAGAAAAGAAAATAATTGAATACTATTAAGTGTTGTGAGCTACCTAGGACAATTTAAATAGTATTCTTATATCTTAGATGGGATTCAGCCTTATGATTTAAAAATAATGTTACGAGTTGTTTGATTTCTAATGAGAAATGGGAAAACAAAAGTAAACCGGATTTAACATTAGTATTTTGGATTAATAAAAACTGAAACTATACTAAACCATTTGTAATTTGGTTTTGGTTTGATTAGCTAGCTTCTTAAATAACTCATGACTGTGGATTAAGCCAGTCTTATTTGATATGGTGATGAATTATGGGCTCTTATCGCCGTAAATTATGTGTACAAAAGCAACTGAGTAATCAGCAATTAACCATCTCCAAAATATTCATCTGTTTTTTTGTTGTTTTAAAACAGAATAAGATATAATATTCCTTTATTTTTTCTCCAATATATTTTTTAAAAATGCTATTTTTCAATAGTATTCTAGTAAAATATAGCATTTTTGTGCTCTGCATATAAAGTAAGAAAAAGCATTCATCTATCTTAGAAGTAGAGATGAAGGTGGATTGGAATAGATTTTAATTTAAAATAGAGTTTAGATTAGTATATAGAGGTGGGTTGGAAATGTTTATTTGTAATGACAATAATGATGATTTCATATGATAGACAAAATATAATACTAGAGGTTTATAAATAAATGAATTAAATGCATAAAATCAAATGCTTAAAATGAAAATGAAGGCAATGTTTTTATAGAGCGAGAGAAAAAAACTACTAAACACAAAAAGACTGATTTGAGACAAGGTGTGAGCTATTTTTGAAATACCAACACATAATTTTATTGATATTACGGGAAAACAGATAATACAATTTGAATTAAAGATTAGACTGACATAACTATTTCTTCAAACGTGTTAATGAAACTCTTATTATATTTCTTATCAAACATAACAAGTTATACTAAAATTTAACGGCAAGGAAACTTGCAATCACAAAATATTAGTTTGTTTTGGGGAAGGCCCTTATAGTCTAAACATGTGCAAGAAGTCGTCGGAAATTCATACTTTGCTTTGCAAGCTGCGTTTCCATCTTTTCCGCATACTCCATCATAAAATCTTGAATCGTTGCACATCTTCTTAGGTTTCACGCCTGTTATTTTATATCAATAATATCAAAATCAGTTAGTTTTAGATTAAAGTTTAATTTATAGAAATAAACAATCGGAAGCTGGATCTGACCAAGACAACTTATCACCTCCGCGTCGTGAGCCTTCCGAAGTCACCGGAAATTCCAAAACCAGTGGAGCCGCCGGATCCGCCTATCCCTCCGGATCCACCGCCTCGTCCCTAGTTATTGATCTATGGCCATGTCCATCTTGCCCTCTCTGATCTTCCACTACGACTTCTCTTTTATAAGAGTTTGGCATTCACCATGGCTGTATTACCGACTTCCTCCTTAGCCAGGGAGAGATCATCTATCCTGTCCTCTCCTTTCGGCGAGAGATTGTTCACAGTCTGTGGAGGTCTATGAGTTCTATTCAAACTTCCTCTATATCGGGTATAGAGAAATCTAAGTTTTTTGGATTCTCAAATTCTGTAACTTCTGAGCTCGATATCTCCTCTTTTGAAAGAATATCAAAATTTTCTGGATTTTCAAATCTTGTATCTTCCTCCTTATAGGAGAGACTTGTCAACTTCTTATTCTCTCATTGAGAATGAGATTTTTTTCAGAATCAAAACCAAGTAATTCCCTAACTGTCTTGTATTCTTGTATAGACCAAGATGCAGCCAGCTTCGTCTTGACGAAACTCGGAGTTATAGGTAGTCTTTCAACGTCACAACTCAAAGTGACCAAATCTTATATTTTGCGGTGTAGCCGTGAACCTTATACCGACGCATTAGAAAGTTTCTTTTGATTCGCTGTCGTATAATTATGTTGTTTTTCTGTTTTAACTCTTGTTTAGAGAGAAGTTGACCGCATCGATTGTTTATTTTTAGATAA